GGGCTTCGGGCGCGCTTCGAGCCAATCGCGGCTTCTATTTCGGCGCGTCAGAGATTGCGCACTTGGCGGCAGCTCGGATCGGTTCACGACTATACGAGTGGTTTTCTCGCATTATGCGAGCAAGTCGGCTACATGCACGAAGCGGAGCGGGTGGACCGTTACGTCGGAGGACTGAAGCCGGACATCTCGCACAAAATCATGCTACGCGGGCTCTCGAACTTCAACGAGATTCTCGCGCTCGCCGAGAAAATCGACATCTTACGCCGTCCGAGACCGGGGTCCTACTATGGACATCGTCCTCGGGGACCGATCGAGCACGCCACTGTACACGCTGTTGCGATGAATGCAACTGCCACGCCGTTTAAGGGGCACTGCTTTGCTTGCAACAGGCCGGGCCATCGCAAGAGCGAATGCCCAGAGGAGCTAAGGTGCCGCGGAGCAGAGCAGGGGAGGGAGTCTCCAAGGCAGGGAAACGCCAGCAGTCAGTAGGAACCGGGCCAACTACTGACGAGACTGCCTGCTCGCCCAACCCCACCGACCCTCACCGAGTCACAGTACCGATTCATGCTATCGATCGGACTCGGACGAATAAGGAGGGTACAGCGACGGATTGCCCAGTACTGATCCATGGGAAAATACAGGGAGCAGCAGTGAAGATTTTTATCGACGGAGGAGCAAGCCACAGTTTAGTTAATACCGCAACCGCACGAAAACTGCAGCTGACACTTAGCCGTTGCTTACCGGAGATAGACGCACGCTTAGTCGACGGCACGCCACTGGCCATACGGGAAAAGGTAGAGAGAGTCAAAGTCCGCTGCGGGGGAAATTTCGGGTTTACACAGGAAATGCTCGCAACGACACTGGATGGGCACGATATTTTACTGGGACGTGATTGGCTGCGACGGTATAACCCGCGAATTGACTGGACGACGGGTAGCTGCACCGTGCGAAGTAGTGGTAACTGGGTCGAGCTACCTCGCTGGCAGTCGCCCAAGTCTTCAACGGTACACGTCAACGCCATCACAATGAAACGGGCTGTCGCTGCTGGAGCTGACGTGTACGCAGTAGACATCGCAGTAGTAGAGGAAGCAGAGCAGCCGAGTGATTTCAAGAGACTGCTGGCAGCCGTACCGCCCGAATTACAGGAACTGTTGAAACGATACCCCGGGATTTTCCCCGACGACTTACCGGAAGGACTGCCACCTCAGCGAGCACATGACCACCGAATCAAATTAGAACCAGGGGCACAGCCAACCATACAGCGCCAGTTCAGACTGACACAGCCCGAGCTCGACGAACTAAGGAAGCAGCTAGATTACCTGTTAGAGAAAAAAATCATCAGACCGAGCTCGTCACCGTTCGCCGCACCGATACTATTCACGCCGAAAAAAGACGGGGGTTTTCGCATGTGTATCGACTACAGAGCACTGAACAGGGTAACAGTCAAGTCGCGGTACCCAATTCCCCGCGCCGACGAACTGATCGACCAACTGCGAACAGCACGGGTTTTTTCGAAAATAGATTTACGGGGAGGTTACCATCAGATTAGGGTCGAACCATCGGACTGCGCCAAAACAGCTTTCAGGACTAGGTACGGGTCGTTCGAGTACACTGTGATGCCATTCGGGCTGACCAACGCACCGGCGACTTTTCAGATGACCATGAACGAGGCCTTTAGGCCGCTCTTAGATAAATGTGTCATAGTTTACCTCGACGACATCCTAGTTTACAGTCGGGATCAGCAGCAGCACTTAGCAGATCTGGAAGCAGTGTTTAAGGTTTTAGACGAGCACAGATTACTGACCAAGGGTTCCAAGTGCGAGTTCTTCCAGGATAGGTTAGAATTTTTGGGGCACGTTATTTCGGAGGCTGGAGTTGAAATCGACCCAAAGAAGCTGGATACGGTAAAGGCGTGGCATCCCCCGACGAACATCACGGAGCTGCAGAGCTTTTTAGGGTTCGTTAATTACGTGCGTCGGTTCGTCCCCGATATGGCACGGTTAACGGCCCCACTGACGGACTTACTGCGGAAGGGGGTCGCTTTTACGTGGGGGGAGAAAGAGCATGCTGCCTTCTCTGCCCTGAAAAATGTTCTCTGTTCCCCGCCCGTCCTGCGCATCGCCGACCCACACCGCCCATTCGAAGTAGTTACCGACGCAAGCGATATCGCCATCAGAGCCGTACTGCTACAGGATTTCGGCAATGGCCTACAGCCTATCGCATACGAGTCACGAAAACTGCATCCGCCCGAGAAAAATTACCCGATACACGACCGCGAAATGCTTGCGATCGTGCACGCGTTCAAAGTATGGCGCTGTTACTTAACTGGCGCGGACGTGACAGTACGGACAGACCATAAATCACTACAGTACCTTCGCGCACAGCCACACCTCAACCCACGACAGATTCGCTGGCTCGATTTTCTCGAGTCTAATTTTCACTACACGGTCACCTACAAAAAGGGAGCCTCGAACATCGCCGACGCACTGACCCGCCCCACTGCCCAGATCCACGCAATACTACTCGCCCAGACAAGCCCGCTACTGACAGGCCTATTCACCCACGGGTACCAGACGGATCCATTCTTCACAGGAGGAAATTCGCAGCAGTTTGCAGCAGCAAAGGGAGTCTATTACGTAAAAACCGGGACTAACCGCATTTGGGTACCTGGGTATACACTGCTACGGGAATTACTGTTACAAGAGGCACACGACGGAGTTACCTCGAGGCATTTCGGAGTAGAAAAAATACGGCAGCAGCTGCAGCGGTATTATTACTGGCCCGAAATGTTGACCGACGTACAACGACACGTGGCATCGTGTCCCACTTGTCAGCTCATGAAATCATCACGACAGCGGCCGGCGGGACAGTTGCAGCCGATACCACCCCCAGAGCATGCTTGGCAGCAGGTGACGATGGACTTCGTCACGGGGTTACCAGCCGGGGCGAGTGGGAACGACGCGATCCTGGTCGTCGTCGATCGACTGACGAAAATGGCACATTTCGCAGCCTGCAAAAAATCAATCACAGCCGAAGAAACAGCACGCCTCTTCATCTCCACCGTCGTTCGACTGCACGGGATATCAGTCGCGATCATCAGCGATCGCGACACGAAATTCACCAGCAACTTCTGGCGGAACCTGTGGCAGCAGTTCGGCACGCGACTACAGTTCAGTTCATCATACCACCCCGAAACCGACGGACAGACAGAACGGACAAATCAGACCATGTAACAGCTCATCAGGGCCACGTGTGACGACCCGACCACGTGGGAACAGCAACTGCCACTAATCGAATTCGCGTACAACAACTCGCCATCCGCCACGACCCAACAGTCACCATTTTACTTAAACTACGGACAAGACCCGACAGTACCCATGACCCCGAATCCCGACAACCCAGTGCCACGAGCACAACAGTTCGCCGAAATATTACAAGCAGCACGGACCCGGGCAGCAGACGCAATAAAAAAAATCGAACATCATCGCTAAACGCAACGCCGACCGCCACCGCAGACCTGTCACTTACCAGCCCGACGACTTAGTTTTACTTGACACTCAGAACCTCCGACTGCCCATCACCCCGAAACTCCGCCCCCGATACTGCGGGCCATTTCGCATAAGCTACATGCTTACCCCCGTCATCGCCCACCTCCTCCTCCCTGCTGACTGGTACGTCAGCCCCTCATTCCACGTCAGCCTACTTCGCCCTTACGTCCCGTCCACGAGCCAACTGCCACGCAATCGCCCAGCCAGCATGACAAGACCACCAACCGAACCAATCGTCACCCCCGAGAAAATCATGAGTCACAGAGTTCGCGACCCTCGAGGAGCCCGAAGGATCGAGTTCTTACTCCGCTGGAAGGACCGTACACCCACCGAAGACAATTGGGTTCCCCTGGACAGAATCGAAAACCACCCCGTCCTCACCGAGTATCTACGCAGTCGAAATTTCAGGGATGTACACGCACTTTCGTAAGGAGGACCTCCTTAGGGGGGGGGGGGTAGTGTAAGGAAAATTCCTTTTCCTTACTTCGCATCCCTGCTCAACGCGTACATCACTGTAGCACCACAGTCAGCACCGTTACCACTCGCAACCTTTGCATCGACAATCCGCCCGCCACCTTCGCACATCGCACCCCGACCTCACGGCTCGGCGGGTAACCCGCCAGGGCTGATTTTATCAGGGTAATTACCCTGATTTCAGGGTGATTACAGGCTCTGACTTGGTGGTCCCTGCAAACTCAGGTTTTGTATTTTGTGAACTCTGATCCAATCAGAGAAGCTACTTAACGGACTCTGAATTCTTGTAACTAGGCTCAGAGTAGTGTAGTTGCGGACTCTGTCTATGCAGGGCATGCGTTCCGTGGACCCTGAATGCGAGGGTATCGGGACGAAGTTTCCTAGAAGCTTCGTTTCGATAACCCCCTTGTGCGTAATCATTTCTTCGAGTGGCCCCATGTGAGGTACCCCCTTCACGCGCCCGTGAGTGACGTAATACCGACAAAGGAAAACACTGACGTGCTGTACATCACAGCTGGCAACAGCGCCAACGCAGCCAAATCAATGATACGGTGCTGCCACGCGCACCGCACGGTGCACAGCATGTGTCTGCCATTGGCCAGAATGGCCTGTTGACAGCATGCGGTGTCAGCCAAGGAGTCCGTGAATGAATTCGGCCTTGAATGCAACGACGAATTCATCGTCGAATGTTGCCATCAAGTCCGTGGAATCGCGGCGCGGTGGTTTCGTGCTCCCGCCATCTCCAACCTTCCCTTCCCTCCCCATACCAACAGCCAACGTTCCTTTGTTCACTGGTGTTTTCTTTCCATTCCGTGCATTCATTGTCTCATTTTCGCCCATCGGTATGTGAGTTGGTCTGTATTGTAGCATGTTATCTACGCTGATTGGTTTACTAACAAACCATAATACTTGTTCCCTGCTTTACACAGTGAGGCGTTGGCTGTGAAGGACGCCGCTGACTCAAACCCGGATCTCGGCATGGTCGACAAGGTGGTGCGCACTGTGGCGACTCTGCTCGGAAACTCCAGCGTGTGGAGTCAGCGGTTCAAGTACCTGCAGCGTGTGATTTACAAGACCAACCTGGAAGTCCAATGCATCCACACGGTGCGGTGGCTGTCTCGAGGAGATGCGGTGGCCAGGCTGTGCAAGGTCCTCGGCGCTTGCATCGTGCTGCTCTGGGAGCACAATCACAAGGCGTACGAGATTGTCACCTGCTACAAGTTTCAGTTCTGCTTGTTTTTCTTGGCCGACATCTTGGCGGACATGAACGACCTCAACCGCTGCTTCCAGAGACGAGAGGTGAGGTCGCATGTTTGTATGATGTTGCTACGTGAGGTTCGTAACTGCACTGTTGCTCATCCTTCTCCCTCTTGTCTACCCCTGCTCTGACACAGCTGGACGTGACTGAGATTGCGAAGACGATCGAGTCCACAACGAGTGACCTGACGGAGCGCTACTTGACGCCAGAGAAAGCTTTCGGGGGCGAAGGGAAGAGCTGGCTGGTGAACTTCCTCAAAGTCCACAAGGAGGGTGGAGGCAAGCAGGTCCGGGTGCGCGGCGTGGACGGTGCTGGACGCCCGATCAACCACCTGTACACCATGCATGAGCGGAAGCTGAAGGGGCACAAACACGGAAGCACCTACGCAGACTGCGTGAAGCTGTGCCGCAAATTCGCCCGTGACTGCGTGGACAACCTCAACAACCGACTGGATGACCTTGGGAAGCTGGGGCCGACGAAGCTGTTCCGGGCGGGGAAGTGGCCGAAGATCAAGGCCCAGCGAGAGAAGAAGTGTAAGGAGTGGCTGAACGGATGCAGCAGGCTGTTCCGCAACAAGCTGCCGGGATTCGACCTCAAAGCAGCAGAGAGGGAGCTTCCAACCTTCTGCGCGATCATGGAGGCACACCATGAGATGGAGAGCTTCACCCAGGGCCTGTCCAACTTCCTTGGGAGCGCAGACTCCAAGAGGTAGCCTATACTTTGCTAACATGGGTTTTACAATCTTGTTGCGCATCGCTAACTGTTTCCGTTGTGTTGTGTGTACGAATGTGCCTGGCAGGAGATGGCCCAACCTCATCCTGCTGTGGCAGGCGCTGGCTGTGCTCCCCCTCTCCACCGTGGAGTGCGAGAGGGGGTTCTCCAGGCAGAACGTCATCAAGTCCTGGGTGCGAGGAGCGTTGTGCAACGCGCGTCTGGGGGAGCTGATGCAGATATCGCTCCTCAAGTATGAGATCGACTGGCCGGAGGCACTGGAGGTGTGGAGGTCCCTGCGGAGGAGGCGCCCTGCGAAGAGCTTGAAGCTGGCTGTGGCAGAGAGGGAGAGGAGGGGGAAGCAGAAGGAGGGTGAAGATGTGGCTGCTAGAAATGCCGGGGAGAATGAGGATGAGGAGGAGGAGGAGGAGGACGATGAAGTGGAACAGGCCTTCGGCGACGATCAGGAGATCGTGGGGGAGGAGGAAGCGGAGGACAATCCATTCCTGTCGGACGATGAGGACGTGGAGGAGGTGTACTTCATAGACAAGCCCGTGCACTAGATTAGATAGAGTAGGAAAGTGCATGCAGTTGTATCATTTAAGAAAATAGTGCACTGTTAATAGCAACCCTGTTTTTGAGTTGTGAACCCTGTCCGGTCAGAGTTGGACTTCGTCTGACACTGAGCTATCAGGGTAGCTACCTTGCGAAAAATGTGCCCTCATAATAGAGGGTCAAAATTTTTACTGGAATCAGGGAGTCCTAAAACGAAACGTCAGCCCAGTAACCCGCGCTCCGGGCCTCCGCTTCGACACTTTTTCCCAACCTCAGTCCCAGGCCCGTCGCGCGACAACCACAGTCCATTACCGTTACCACTGTAGTTTCGCTATATATTCTTCGCTCATGCCTTCGCTCATTGTACTCTTGCTTCGATAGTGCAATTCTCGTTCGTTCACTCAATTGCACTCGTAACAGTCAGTCTAATGTGCGAAGATGTACAGCGCAAATAGTCAACGTTCTGGACCGCGCTAAAGTAACAGTACGAAAGGCTATGACCCGCTTTGAGCAAATGTGGATTCAAGCCTGTTTTCGCCGAGATGCTTGTTTTCTGACACAGCAGTGCTGTATTGTGTTTGCCAACCTCCCCTCCGACACGGGCATTCTGACGAGTCACAGAGCTACTATGCTGTACGCAGCACAATAGAACCAACCAGCCACCGCAGATACTTTGCTACCCTTTCCAGTTGAGGGCCATGATATATCGGGGGAATCGCGAGGTGAAGTCCACTGCACCTTGCTGGAGATGTCGTGTCCATGCATGAGACCAATTTTACAGTAAGGTGTCCCTTGCCGCGGTCCACAGAAAACATCGGACCAAATTGTATCTCACACTGACCCATCCGCCCTTTGCTCCCAACTGGCTCGTATTCTCCCCTAACCGGAACCAGAGCTCACACCGGGTAGGTGAAACATGTCATCAGCAATACAGAGTTTGTTTTCCGCAACCACGAACAAGTTCCGAACTGCTGGGGGTAACACAGGACCGTTCAGAAACCTGTGATTAAAAAGGGTTGTGAATCTGATCACTTTGCTGGAGCAGGGAGGATGCAGTCGTCGCGCTGCGCTGCAACAAGCAAGCTGCGAAAAGCGAAGCCACAGCAAGCCGTGATTGGATGCAGCCAGCCCAGCTTGGCAAGCGGTGCACCAGCGCACCCGAGACGCGAACAAGCTTATCCAGGGTGCGTGGTGGTCGTCATGATCTTAGTAAGGGTGTGCTGTGCCGTGCTACTTATCCTTTTCCGCCAGAATTCGTGACCAGCGTCATTTCACAACACAACGCTGATCACGCTTTGGTGGGGCCTTGCTGATCGTGCCGCCGCTCATCTCGTTCCTACCGATCCTTTAGTATTCACCGCACTTGCAGAAGGCATGGCCAAGAGGCGTCGTGAATTCGCGTCACAAGTGCAGCTCATTACGCTCGACCTAGTTCTGCTTCTACTGCTGTCGCCCTCCCATCATTCCCTCGCTGCGGCCGCCTGCACCGCTGCATTCCCCTCCGCGTCCGCCTGCTTCCCCGCGACCGCCTCTCACCGCGCCTTGATACAGCTCATACGACCAACCTCCGTCGTAGGCGCTCTCCACAGCTCTTCGCCTGGAAACCGCGCTCTACCGCTCAACGACACAGCGTCGCTCAGCGACACAGCGTCGCTCAACGGCACAGCGTCGCTCAGCGACACAGCGTCGCTCAACGGTACATCGTCGCTCAACGGCACAGCGTCGCATAACGGCACAACGTCGTTCAACGGCACAGCGTCGCTCAACAGTACAGCGTCGCTCAACAGTACAGCGTCGCTCAACAGTACAGCGTCGCTCAACAGTACAGCGTCGCTCAACAGTACAGCGTCGCTCAACAGTACAGCGTCGCTCAACAGTACAGCGTCGCTCAACAGTACAGCGTCGCTCAACAGTACAGCGTCGCTCAACAGTACAGCGTCGCTCAACAGTACAGCGTCGCTCAACAGTACAGCGTCGCTCAACAGTACAGCGTCGCTCAACAGTACAGCGTCGCTCAACAGTACAGCGTCGCTCAACCGTACAGGGTCTCTCAACGGCACTGCGTCGCTCAACGGTGGCGGCAGCGATGGGAGTGCATCCCTCAGCGGCGGGGGCGGCGGGCCAGTGGAGAGGGTGGGGCGGGCGGCGGAGAAAATAGCGCACGCGGTGGGGGAGGCGGGGCAGGTGGCGAAGCAGGTGGTGGAGATGTACGTGCGCCCCAACGCGCGCCCGCGCATTCCGCTCGGCCCCACCATCATCAAATGGCTCAAGCGCTCGCCCATCCCCCAGCAGGTCCGCGCGCTGTCCCGCGCCGCTTGCACGTCAGAGGGGTAGATCCGGGAAAGAGAGGAGAGTGAGATCAGCGTGAAGAGCGATGGGAGGGGTGAGAGAGAGGGGAGAGTGGTGGAAAAGGAGCAGTGAGATCGGTGGTGCGATCCGTGGGGCGGGCTATAAGTGCGTGTGGGGCGTTGTGGGTGCGCTGCCACCATGCGCGCACACCCTTTCTGCACCGTCGTATTGATTGCGATCTCCAGCTAGGGGGGTGGAGGGGGAAGAGAGAAGAGAATTGACGAGGTCGCGTGTGGACGGCGACGAGTGTGAGAATTTGCAATGCATGAGGGTGGGTGGGTGGGTGGGTGGGTGCAAGCAGCGCGGCTACATGCCTCGTGCACGCACACTCAAGTCAGTCCTTTCATCTGTGTGTGTGGTGCGTGCGTGCGCGTGGCAGGTGCACGTGTCGCTGGCGAGTGCGACGGCGGGCGCGGTGGCGATGCGCATCACGTGGATAACGAGCCAGCCGCGATGCCTGTCGCTCGTCACGTGGGGGCTGCACCCCAACGCGCTCAACCGCCTCTCGCGCGGCACCTCCTCCTCCTACCAGTTCCTCTTCTACAGGTGCTGCCCCCACCCGCGCACGCGTTGTACAGCCTGCACCGCAATGCACCGCACTCCACCGCTCAACCCCGTCTGCGCGAACGCGCTTCTTTGCAGCAACGCTCCCTCCCCTGCGCCCTCCGCGCATGTCCCCCCATTCGCACTGCGCAGGTCAGGGTTCATCCACAGCGTGGTGGTGGGGTCGGCGGACAAGCCCCTGGCGGGCAACACGGTGTACTACTACCGCATGGGGCGCAAGGGCAAGCGCCGCTCCTTCAAGACCCCGCCCACCGCCGCTGATGCCGCCATCAACGTTGCCATCGTTGGTGCGTGCGCCCGCCTCCTTGCACTGTCAACTGCCCATGGAATCTGCTTCATTTTCGCACCAACTGTGATGCCTATCTTTCACGCATTCCCTCGGTCTCCCTGCATCAGCCCATGCCTCAATGCTTTTATCCTCTGTTTCCCGCGCCCACTGTACTATCTCTTCCCTGTGACTCCATGACCGCGCCTCTGCACCACTATTGCCGTCACCAGGCGACCTGGGGCAGAGTGGGTGGACGGTGAAGACGCTGAAGCACGTGGGCAGCCGGCCGCACGACATGGTGGTGGTGCCAGGCGATCTCTCCTATGCCGACTTCATCCCCTGGCGCTGGGACAGCTGGAGCACGCTCATTGACCCCTACGCCAGCACGCGCCCCTGGATGGTCGTGCCCGGCAACCACGACCAGGAGTCGCTCTCGCGCTTCCTGCCTGGCTTCATCTCATACAACGCGCGCTGGCGCATGCCCGCTGCAGAGAGCGGGTCGCCATCGAACCTATTCTACTCGTTTGACACGGCAGGCATCCACTGGGTCATGCTCTCCTCCTACTCGGGCTTCCTCCCCGGCTCCCGCCAGTAAACCTGGCTCAAGGTGCCGCTCAACCCCACCCATGCCTTCCCCTGCCATGCTGGTATTCTGATGCTGTTCTCCTTCTTTCATAGCTTTTTCTGCACCTGGCTTTCATGGCTTGTTTCCTTGGCACCTGTCACCTGAACCACCACCAACTCCTTCCCTGCCTTCCTCCCCCCTCACCTATCATGCATTCATGGAGCAGAGGGACCTGAGTCTGGTGGACAGGGCGCGCACGCCATGGCTGGTGGCGGTGCTGCACGAGCCGTGGTACAGCTCCAACACACGCCACAAGGATGACGGCCGTCCCATGCGCCAGGCACTCGAGGGGCTGCTCTTCGCTGCGCGCACTGACATCCTCTTTGCCGGCCACGTGCACGCCTATGAGCGATCCGTATGCTCCCGCTCCCCCCTCCGATCTACCCCCCTTAGTGCACTCAGTTCTTTGCTTCTTGATCGCCTTGTGTAATCCCTCTTCCCCGCTCCTCAGGGCTGTGAAGTCCTTCTCTTGTGTTCCTCTTCCATTTCTGCTGGTCCTTATTCCAAGTTCCGATGCTGTGTGCGCGCCAATTGTGCTCGCAGAAGCGCATATTCAATGGCAATCCACACCCCTGCGGCATAGTCCATGTGACTATAGGCGACGGTGGCAACAGAGAAGGCCTCTATTCCACGTATGTTCCACCCCCCTGTGTTGGCAGTTCCAATCAATGACTGCTTGTTTTTTCTTGCTCCTGCTGGCTTTCCCCCACTTTATTGTCACCATTTTTGGGCGTTACATTGTGCTGACCATATTGAAGAGCCCCAGTTTCTTTGTTTGTGCCCTTATGGCCTATTGTGCTTCACACATTAATACCTTTACCTGCATTTTCTTTGTATCCCTTATCCATGCAGCTACCACAAGAAACCTGGGTGGTCTGCATTCAGGGAGGCCTCATTCGGCCATGGCCGCTTCCAGGTGCTGGGAGGAGCCAGCACAGGGGAGGCGGACTGGTCCTGGCAGCGCAATGCAGATGATGTAGGGGAGACAGCCGACACTGCGCATTTCATTAGTCATGCCAGCCCGCTTGCACCCTCTCAGTGCAGGCCACCTTCAGCACAAGTGTAATACTACGTGCATTAATCAAAAACAGATTTTCTATACAGTATGCTGTTGCATGCATCCGTCACAGTGTATGAAGGGTTACACTTATATTGTTTATACCTATGAACTAATGAAGATTTGGAAGCTACTTATCAACGCCTGGCTTGCGCCAAGTCTCGAAAGTGAGGTTACCGGGTATGAAGTGTGCTGATGGATATATCTGGCGAGGCTAGGGGCGTTTCGACCAAGTCGTCACATTGCCATGCGAACGCGATCCGATAATTGTTGTGTTGATCAAATGCGACGTTGTGTTGATCAAATGCGACGTTGTGTTGCATCAATGATTGGCTGGCGCGGTGCGAGGAAAACGCCCCTCCTCCTCGCTTCCCTCTCGCTTCGGAATCCATGCCGCCTCTTCGCTACCTCAGATGCAGCTCCTTGTATTCCTCAAGCCGCTAATGTCCGCCACCCATGAGCTCACATGGCTACGTGAATCTCTCCCCCCCCTTCCCCCTTCACTCTCCCCTCCCCGACCATTTTCCTCTACTCGTAGCGACCGAGATTATGCGCCCGTCTCATTACTTTCTTAAGAAACTGTGGAACGATCGGCACTGTTTTTTTTTCTCCCTCGCAAAAGTTATCTTCCTTTCTCTAGGCGCCAGCTGCTTAGTTATGCCGTAAAGCGTTAGCGAGATAAGGATATAGGGCTTCGCATGGTGTGCACGTGTACAGATGGGTAATTCAAAGAAAGAGGTGCCGGAAGACGAGAGAGTGACGAGTAGATGGTCAATGCGACGAGCCGGTGATGGAGCAGAGGGCCATGGGAGGCCGCATGCGGGTGAGGAACTGGAGGAGAGCAGCGTGGGCGAGGAGAGGGAAAGGGAAGACATGGCGGGGGGCGCAGAAAGAAATATTCACGAGGAGGAACATATTTGGGGATTGGAGAGGGGCGAAGATGGACAATATGTTGACTGTGGGGATGAGGAGGTGGCGGCGGAGGTGGAGGAGGAGGGCAAGTATGATGACGAGGAGATTGACGATGACGAAGATGATGATGAGGATGGGGATGACGATGACGATGACAATGACGATGACGATGACGATGACGACGATTTCGACTACGACGAGTGGGAGGAGGAGGAGGGTGAGCGGCGCGGCGTGCAAGGCAGCGCGATCGACGGCGACTGGACGGTGTCGTCTCGTCTGCGAGCACCGCAGCAGCGCGCGGCGGCAGAGGGCACGGGGGAGAACCAAGAGCCCGCGCCCTTGGCGCCCTCTTCTCCGCCACCTGCCTCCTCCCGCCGCTTCGCCACCCTCACCGCGCACCCCCGCGCGCCAGGCGAGCCCCTCCGCGTCACATTCTCCGCGCAGCTGCCCGACTCGGGCGCCTTCGCCCCGGCCCCAGCAGACCCGCTTTTGGGTGCGCCTCCCTTTCCCCCCATGATTCACCGGCCACGCTCCGCCGCTGCCCGCGCTGCGGTCGCTAGAGTGTTGCGGCAGCGGCAGGAGGCAGCAGAAGGCAGTCTGCGCGGGGCTGGGAGGGGCGGTGATGCAGGGGGGGCGGGTCAGGGCGGAATGGAGGGGCATGGCGCAGGTAAAGAGACACGGCGTGTATGGCGAGGATTGAACGCGGGTGCAGGGGGCGAACTGGGAGACGAGGAGGTGCGCGGAACGAAGAGAAAAGCGGAACCACATGCGCAGGCGCAAGTGGGAACCGCTGGGGGGGTTACAGGTGGCAGTTTTGTGGGATGGGGAGGGAACGTGGGAGTTGTGGAACGGTTAAGAAGGGAAGGAGGGGACGGCGCGGTTGCGTCGCGAATGGCAGAGGGCGAGACGCAAGGAAGCAGAGCGGAGGCCATGAGGGAGGAGCAGGGCGGTGCTGGAAGCATGATGCAGCAGGGAGCGGAGCAGGGCGGAGCAGAGAGGGAGGGCGGGGGGCAGGAAGGCGGGAAGCAGAGTGGGGTGGGGGAGCCGACAGGCGTAGGGGGAGTGGGAGGCGGCAGGGCGATGGAGGTGAGCCCTCCGCGCAGCATGCGAGAGCCATCCTCCCGTGCTGCCCGCAAGATGTGGCGCGAGCTGGTGCCGCACCGAGCAGGACGCACAGACACGGCACAGACTCACACGCTGGGAGGCAGCACGGGGCAAGGCGGAGAATGTGACAAGCAGGCGGTGAAAGAAGAGCTGTGATGGCAGCACTTGGACACTGGGCAGTCATGGCACGTACGTGGTGTTAAGGGAGGTGTGCATGGCGGTGGGGCGGTGCGGAGGGAGTGTGCGTGGGTGCAAGGCATGACTGCTGTCATGCACTGGCAGCATAACATAGTAACCAAAATATTATGGTACTGGTAACTGGTATCAATTTACTACTGGTGCAGGGCGGCCACACACCCCACCAGCGGCTGCTGGGCTCCCATTTGCACTACCGTAGGTGCTCAAGGGTTGCATGCTGTGTCAATACCCCACTCACAATACGGTAAAGTGCAGGCCCCTGTTGTTAACTATTTATGGCACCATGACAATGTCAAATATAATGCACGATACTCATAAGGACAATCCTATTTCATGAGTTGTTTGTTAAGTGCCATGTTTGATAGCTCACTTCTAACAACTTGTTTGTTAAGTGCCATGGTCGTTTGCAGAGCTTCACCCGTTCATCAATGTCGTATCTCATCTAAACATAAATAATGGAACATTCTTCCGATTTCGTCCATCCGCCACAACCAATTTCGTAAGCTCCTCCCATGACCAAGGCGTGCCTTGTCAGCATTCCAACACCCCTCAACCAACTCCTTCGATACAGTACGATACGTTATTATTCACACAGCGACTCCTCTCGTATTAATATCAGTAGGCAGCGGGCCCTGCCCAACGCTCGAAGGGATTTTGTTGTGGGCATGCATTTCGTATTGGAGAATACTGGAGGCTTTGCTTCTGTGTCCTCCACTTATCAGCAAACTGTCTGGCAGTTGCTCCTCACACCAACTATCTGGAGTGCGTTTATGGTGTGTGAGTGAGTGTTTAGGGTGTGTGTATGGTGTGTGTGTGTGTCTGTGTGAGGTATGTGTGCGTGTGTGGTGAGCATGCGTGGTGTGTGTGTGGGCATCTGGTGTGTGTGGTGTGGGTGAGTGTAGTGTGAGTGGTTTGTGTGAGCTGTGTGTATGGTGTGTGGTGAGCATGCGTGGTGTGTGTGTGAGCATCTGCTGTATGTGGTGTGCGTGTGTGTAGTGTGAGAGTGGTTTGTGTGAGCTGTGTGTATATGTGTGCGGTGGTGTGAGTGTGTGGTGTGTGTGCGCGTGTGTTGTATCTGTGTGGGTGTGAGACAGAGGTTCCAGAGAGGGGGGGAACAGATGGGAGGCGACACAAGTGGGGGGAACAGGGGTGAGGAGGAGAGGAGGCGAGGAGGGAGAGGAGGGGAGAAGAGCAGCGTGATGCCGCTGAGCACTCCAGTGCTGGCCGCTGCGAGGCCCTCACTCTGCGTATTCGCTGCGAGCCCATAACTCTGCTGCCGCGTCCACTGACAGGGCGGCCACACCAGCCGCCTGGTGGGCAGCGGGCGGTACGGCGGTAGGAGAGGGGTAGAACAGGGGGAAGAAGGGGGAAGGCCACGGACGGGAGGGAAAGGAGGTGCGCACGGTGAGAAGGGGAGAGGAACCGGGTTAGTAGAGCAGCCACAAGCAATAATCCGCTGGGAGCACACAGCAAAGGTGAGCACAACCGCAAGCAGGTGAGCACAACAGCAAGCAGGTGAGCACAACAGCAAGCAGGTGAGCACAACAGGGAAGGGAAGGGGAGTGGAGGCGGGAAGGGAGGGTGAGGGAAGGGGAGGGGGGAGGGGAGGGGAGGGGAGGGGAGGGGAGGGGAGGGGAGGGGAGGGGAGGGGAGGGGAGGGGAGGGGAGGGGAGGGGAGGGGAGGGGTGTGTTGCATGGGATGGAATGGCGTGCATGGGAAGACAAGGGGGCAGCACGCGAGAGCAAGCGGCGGTACAGTGTGACCCTCGCCCGCTGCTGCTCCACCCCGCAACCTCCCTCCGCCCTCCCCCTTCCGCCACCCGCCCTCCGTCCCCCACCCCCGACTGTCTGCAGCTCCCCAATCCCCAACGTGACCTCTCAGCACGCCTGAAGTAACCCCCCCCGCCCCCCTTTCCCCCTGCTCTCTGCCGCCCTTTGTCACGGGCGGCACGCACCATTGGGAGGTTGTGAGGCGCGAGAGGCAGCATTTGGAGCTTGGGCGCGCCAAGGCCGTCCAACACGTGAGCTGTCCACCCCACGTACCCGCACGCACACACGTGTCCCCGCCTCCTTGCTCGCCTGCAGCAAGGGAGGGGGTGTGGCAAGGGAGAGGAGGGCAAGGGAGGCGGCGGCAAGAGAGGAGGCGGCAAGGGAGGAGGCGGCAAGGGAGGAAGCAGCAAGGAGGTGCTCCCCCGTACGCTTGCTGCGTGCGCTTGCTCCTGTTGCTCCCGTTCGTTCCGCTGCTGCCTGTGCACATGCTATGCGGACTATAGGGAGGAACGAGGGGAAGGGAGCGATGAATGCGACGGAAAGATGCAAAGAAACGGAGTACGACAGGGCAGACGGGAAAAACAGGAAAAGGAGAAATCCGCAGAAGCGAGAATGAACGGGAAGCGTAGGATAAATCGAACGAGAAGCGTAGGATAAATCGAACGAGAAGCGTAGGATAAATCGAACGAGAAGCGTAGGATAAATCGAACGAGAAGCGTAGGATAAATCGAACGGAAAGCTTGGGATCAATCAAAATGCACGGAAACGAACAAGGGCAGGCGTCAGAGCGTGCGTGTAGCATGAAGCAGCGAGAAAAAGTTAATTTTATACGAGGCAGGCCAGTAGCATGGATGCGATCTGAGATTACACTCTTCTCATTTTGGATGCTCCAGCCGAAGTCCAACTCCAAACATTCAAGACCAACTCGATCTGACGGCCAGCATTCGCCCAATGTTCGGAATCTCCCATATCTCCCATTCCAAACATCCCATGTGAGATGAGAATTCGAGCTCCCTCCCAGCGTTACCACAAATTTCCCCGTCATCCAAGAGCTCCCTTCCATCATCGAAAGAGCTACCTTTCAGTTCGCCTTTCTGAGTTCTCAAGGTTCACACCTCTCCCCTCGCGCTTCCCCTTCCTCCACCCCTCCGCGTCATTTCTTGAGGCACACGCCACTCAACCACGCCAAGCCTCCTTCGCGATAGCCTGTGGATCTCTTCCGCCCTGCCAATCCGTCAGCCTCTTCGGGTAGTACTTCCTTCCCCCCTGTTTCGTATGCCAGGACAGATCGCTTAGCAGAAAAGCTTGTAGTTCCCGTCGGTTTTATCTAGTCTTCACGACAAGCTCGAAGAGTCGTCACCCGTGCGTGTCAGTCGCTCTAGATCCGTCGCAATGTCTGACGAGTCGGCAAAGCTAGTCCTCCGAAATGACGGTTTGCTCGCCAAGATCCTGCACTTGGCTGCTCAGCCGAACCAGTTCGTGCAAGCACTGGTGTGCACGAAATGGCGTGACATGGCCTATCGCGTGCAGGACGTCATTCACCTCTCTGATCGCCCTTGCATGAGTCATCGCCTGCTGCTTGAACAGCTCGCGACCTTCCCTAGGCTGAAGAAGCTGCTGGTTGGGGAAGGGCGTTTGTGCTTCGTCCCGGACGAATTCCTTGCTGGCCTGGCCCGCGCGCATCCCGATCTGGTTGAGCTTCGCATTGACAATCCTGATGGGTCTGTCGGACCCGGCAAAGATTTCTCTGAGAACGGACTCTCGGATTTTTTTGAGGGTTCCACCAACCTAGAGGATCTGCACCTAGATTGTCCGTCGTGTATGCGCATTCCACCTTCCATCGGCAAACTATCTCGACTCAGGAGCCTCTTCCTCACAGCTGATGAGATTCAGAATCTTCCCGACGCCATCACCTCGTTGCAGTTACTTGAGGACTTCGAGCTCCATGCTAGAGATTTACAAGATTTGCCACGAGACTTTGGCAACCTCGTCTCGCTGAAGACGTTGGGGCTTGTCGTTAACTCTCTCCGCTCTCTACCGACGTCCATTCAGCGGCTTGTCAATCTACAGCAACTGTCCATCAGCGAGTGCATGACATTTCGGTTACCAGATGGTCTCTCCCAACTTAATCGACTGAATAAGCTTCAGCTTGAGGATATTGAAGACCTCTTGCCGCTGCCTGATAATTTTGGAAAGCTGTCGGCATTGGAGTGCCTAGTGGTGAGGCGTGTGGAGGGGATTACGGAGCTTCCAGAGACAGTTGGACTTCTCCCACAGCTGCAACTGCTTACCATTGAGAGCGAGGACAGTTCCTCATGGCTGCCCGCGTCCCTGCCTGATGTTTCATCTCTCACGGAGCTCGACTTGTGCCAGACAAGTGTTTTGGATCTGCCAGATGGCATTGGTCGGCTGTCAAAGCTTAAGAGTATCAAGCTGAAAAGTTTGGAAGGCAATTATCCTGAAGGTCTTTCGTCCCTGCCCGAGGACTTCGGGCAACTGACTGGTTTGGAAATTCTACATTTGACGAATCTAACACATCTCAGCCACCTGCCTGACTCCTTTACACTGCTGTCTTCTCTTCAGACATTGGAAATCAGCGACTGCTCTAGGTTAACTGCTCTACCAGAGGGGATGGGGGATGGTCTTCACCACCTTCAGAAGCTGATTTTGAGTCGCATACCTATCACCCACCTCCCTTCCTCCTTCCGTCTCTCATCTCTCGTAGCGATAGAGTTGAATGGTGCCCAGTGCTTGAGAGGCTGCCTTTTAGAGGGCTTTGGCAACTTTTCACACCTTAGGACTCTCTCTTTAAACGACATCCCAAATCTCACTTCCCTCCCTTCCTCACTCTCTCGATTAGCTCTCTCCCTCACCAGCCTGACGGTGGACTCCTGCCGTAAGCTGAGAGCGTTGCCAGAGGAGATCGGGCAGCTGGAAATGCTGGAGAAGCTCCAGCTTTCAAAATTACACAGCTTGGAATCAATCCCTCGGTCTCTGTTGAAGCTGCCTCGACTGCGGGAGCTGGAAATCAATTGCAAGTCCCTTGGCGGAAGCAGCGCTGTGGATACCTTGGTTGGGGGGAGGAGCAACTGCAGCAGCAGCAATGTGGAGAGTGTTGAAGAGGAAGTGCTTCCGTCGCTGCAGAGCCTGACGATCAAGGGTGTTGCTTCTGAAGTGCTTGATTCTTCCCTGGTGTGCATCTCTTCATTGGAAACGCTGAAGCTGTATATTCCTGCACTGCGTGCACTTCCGGCCTCCATCTCTCAGATGTCAAACTTGAGAGATTTGTCCATCTGTCGTGCGAAGGGGCTCAAAGCACTGCCGGAAGCAGTGTGTGCACTTTCCAGGCTTACTAGTCTCTCGCTGGGTTCACTACCCAGTTTGTGTCAGCTACCTACGTCGTTTGGGCAGTTGAAGAAGCTCCAGGAGTTCGAGATCCATGATTGTCCAAAAATATCCGAACTTCCTGAATCTTTTCCCAATATGCCCGGTCTACGGTATTGCACACTTGACAACGGCTTGGATGCATCTTCTTTACTGCATAACTTTGGGAAACTATTTTCGCTCCGATTTCTAAGTTTAGCTAATCTCCCGAATCTCTGCAGCCTCCCCGATTCTCTACAGGACTTGACACGACTGAGGGAGCTGGTATTGGAGAGTTGTAAGCAGCTGGCTCGGCTGCCACCCTTCATAAAAAATATGGCGATGCTGCAGGAGTGCTACATATCTGATTGCCCCCTGATTCCCCAAGACGGCACGACGATTTATGGGAGGGGGTATGGTGTGGAAAGGGTGGATGAAGAGGATGTGGAATGAGGGGGTATGGAGTCACCATGGGACAGGAGAGGTGTGGAGAGTAGGAGCCTAGGATGGAGGGGAGAGGGAGATAGGTTAGGGCCCGTGGAAGGGGTAGAAGAGAGAGGGAGATATGTCAAGAAAGGGGTAGGAAATGTTTAGGAAGGTGGTGTCTCTTTTTTTGCGTGTGGTTATGTCAAAACTCTTTTTACAAAAGGAATGGCGATGGGAGGGATGTATCACGGGAGGGAGAGTGAGTTTTGCGTACAAAACCGGGTTGAAGACACCATGATGAATGGTAGTAGGAGCTTGGACTGCTCTGGTAAATAGTTGAAACACTCATGTTTGACAGACGTGCTGCAACTTAAGTTGGAAAATCGGGAATACCACAGGATGCAAAAACTATTCTACGAGTTGACTTTTACGTATGGGTGTGCAGGGCTGCAGGGGGCATGGCAGAGGCACTGGTGCCTGGTGGCTGTGGGGCAACTGGTGAATGCCCTGCTGGCGCACTGTTGAGGTGCCGCGCCTCACAAGGTGCCCGGTGCATTCATATTGTCAACGTTACTGTAAACGCAATGCCACACGTGCGCGCCGTACTCATTTTTTTCTTCCCTCCCTCCCTCCTCCATTCTCTACTTTTCTCAGTACCAAATCGAGTCCCTTGCTCCCTCCCATTTTCCCTCATTTGCCTCTCTCCCATAAACTCCCCACCGTCCCTCTTCACCTCCTCCTTCCTACACTATCCTTCACTCGCTCCCACCAGCTTCCATGGATCTCTCCTTTGCTGGCTGGTGTACAAACCATTACCTCCTTTCCCCACCTCTCTCGTTCCCCAACCCCCACTCCCTCCCTTCCATTTCCTACAAAGCACCTGAACCACTTGCTGTACACGTTGGAATCCGTTTCTCTCCCATGGCAGTTCCATCCGGAATACATGATGAGCTCTTTGCCATTCTGTACAATGCCGCACCGCGGTCCAGTCAGTCCCCCTCCTTCGTGTATCGTGGGTAATTCGTGGAAGTGGTAGTGTTGTGTTGTGTGGGTTTTCTTTGTCCATTCTCTGTCTTGATCGGCTCGTATGAGTGGGCTTCTTTGCAGCACCATAACTTGATGGAAACTATGCGTGTTGACAAGAACGGGCAGAACGGCGTGTAATGTTGTTGTCATAAGTTTGTGCTAACCATGTGCTTGATTGTTCTTGACTGTTTGATTGTGCCCCCTTGTTTCATGCTGCAAAAATACACTACGGGGCATCTCTTGCTATCTGCGGGGGTCTCTCATCCCCTTTTCACTTGCCACTCATCCCCATCTCCCCCCCCCCACAATCCTTGAAGGCCGTGGCAGGCTTGCCGAGCAGCAGCAGGCTGGTGGCCAGGATGGTGGGACCCGCCCCTCCCGTGCCCCTCCCGGGTCCCGCCATGAAATACGAGAAGCTGGTGTGCGAGTGGGGGATGTAGGTGTGTCTGTGTGTGTGGGAGGGGGGGGGGGAGAGTACTGGGGCGGATGAGAAGAAAAGGGCAGTGCATGGAGGAGGAGAGTGGCTGAAGGGAATGCGGCAGTGCAGGAGGGGAGACAGGTGTAGAGATTCGAGCAATACATGGTGAAGTTGGCACTTGGTGGGTGCAGGCGAGTCAGTGAGTGAGTGCGTGAGTGAATGGGCGAGTGAGTGAGTGAGAGGGTGAGTGAGAGAGTGGTGGCACCGCAGGCTCTTTGGTCGAAGGCCGAGAGCGACCTGCTGCTGCCCTTGTTGCTCCTCCATGCGTGTCCCCTCCCCGCGAGCCGCACCAGCTCCGCTGCCATCAGTGCAGGGAGGAGAACACAGGAGAGGAGAGCACACCATGGCGCGCTGCTCGTGCTGTCATGCCCCACACGCCTTGGGTGGGACGGATCAGGCGAAAAACATGGTAGCATGGCAGCAGGAAGCAGTCAAGCTGTGTTCCATGTCCCCACAACTTCCCATGTCAGCTCCCCCTTCTCCTCCAATGTTCATCGTTACTCTCCCCACTCTGCCCCTGCTGTTTTATTCCCCAACATCCCATTTGGCGCCCATCTGTTCCCCTCCCCTCTCCCCTGACTGCACGCACAGTTGCTGAAGCCCGGGTAGATGCCGGCCGTGGTGATGGCGGCACACCCCCGCCACTGCAGCGCCGTGCAGAGCCCTTGTGTTGACAGCGATCGCCACGTCGCCACACACGCCCAAGTACGACGTCTGGGAAGGAGGGGGGGTGGGGGGAGGGAGAGGGGTGAAAGGGAGGGGATTGGGCAGAGACGATGGCGCTCTGAGAGCACAGACAGAGCACAGAGCGAGGAAGCGGTGCTGCAGGGGATGTGGGGGGCGATGCAGGGCGTGAGAGACGAGAGAGGAGGAAGACGCCTGAGAGGCAGGGCTCCCAACTTGGCGCGGATGGCTGCTTCCAAAACGGTGCAGTGCGGTTCTCGCTGAAAGGGCCCTGCACATTGCACCACCGGTCGGCTCCTGCGAGCATGCGAAGCAAGTGGGTTGGGGGGGAGGGAGGTGATGGCGAGAAGAGGAGGTGATGCAGGTCAGATTGGGAGTTGATTGTTGAGGAATGGGAAGAGGCACGGGGAACAGGGGAAGGATGGGACAGGGCGAGGCTGCAGCTGCACTGGCAAAGAATGGCCCGGGGAGGCACGGCGTGGTCCATGGGAAATGTGAAACCCATGGGTGGGAGAGTTGGGGCTGAAAACCCTTGTGGCATGTTACTGTGTGGCATGTTACTGTGTGGCATGTTACTGTGTTGCATGTTACTGTGTGGCATGTTACTGTGTGGCATGTTACTGTGTGGCATGTTACTGTGTGGTATGATACAGTGGGGTCTGATACTACGGTATGATACAGTGTGGCATCATACAGTGTTGTACGACACAGGTGGTGTGATACAGTGTGTTATCATACGGTTTGGTGTGATGCAGTGTGGCATGATGCAGTGCGGTTGGATGCACAGTGGTATGATTCAGTGTGGCTTGTTTTAGTGTGGCTTGTTTCAGTATGGCTTGTATCAGTGGGGCTTTTTACTGCGTGACATACTGGGGTGTGCCATTGAATGGCATGGTGTGATTTGTTTTAGTGTGGCTTGTTTCAGTTTGGTGACACAGCATGGTTTGATATCATGCCATATCCCGGCGGACAGCATGTGGAGGGCAGTGGAGCACGATGGAAGGCAAGGAAGACAGTGTGGGAGGGAAGAGGAGGGAAGTGGGGTCGGGGGAGTGGAGGTGTGCCATGCGGCAAGCATGGCTGCCTCACCTGCCATGCCCTTCCAATGCATTGCACGGAGGGAAGAGGAGGGAAGAGGGGTCTGGTTGGGGAGTGGAGGTGTGCCATGTGGCAAGCATGGTTGAGTGCGGAACGAGAATAGATGCCGTTGTGCACTATGTACCTACATTGTGCGAAATATACATGTAAAAAAATGTGTGAATGCTTGCTTATTATAAATGGATTTTTTTTTCAGTAAGTACTGTACCAGGGCTCTCGCTAGGTTTTGGGGCTGTCTGAGAGTATACAAGAAAAATCCTTCCCCGTCTTATGCTCGGACGACGAAATTTTCCTGGTCTGCATTATAAGACGAAAACATTTTTCTAGTCTGATTAATAAGACGAATGAAAATTTCCTATCAAATTCAACCTACTGTTATCCTGCAGAGTTATCTACTGTCTACACAAATCCTACTGGCAGTTCTAGTCCTAGTACCAAACAACCTAGTCAATAGCAAACAACTTAGTCAGAGTCACTATAGCCGGACAGTTCATTGTTATCACTATCATCCTCGCTTACTATTGACTCTGGGACAGTGGCCCTATCTTTCCTACTAAGCCACGGGTACTCAGCATCCAGCCTTGCTGCTTCTGCTGCTAGGGCTGCTTCTCGAGCAGCTGCTTCTGCTGCTGCCAGTGCTGCTGCTGCTGCTGCAGCTGCGGCTGATCTTTTCTTCGCACGCTTGCTCTGTTTCTCCCTGGACGCCATCAGCACATCATTGGCAGGCCTGCGCTTCTTGTTAGCATTCCACCTCCTCAGTAACTCGGGCCACTCCATGTCATAGTTGAGAAGCGAGACGGCCATCAGCTCTCCTAGCTTCGCGTCGCACAGGTTCCCGCGAAGCCAGCTTTTGATGATGTTCTGCCGTGAAAAGCCGCGCTCGCACTCCACGATACAGAGCGAAAGCACGGCGACGGCGATCCACAAGTGCACGAGGTTCGGGTAGCACGTCGCCCAGTCGGGAGAGGACAGCATGAGCTTCAGGCTGTCCGCAAACCCCACATCCTCCTGGTGTGTAGCCATGATTGTGGAGAAGGTGACGATCTCCCTCTGCGCTCTCGCCCAGTTGATGCCTGCGGTTGGGGTGCGCATGGGGACGGTGAGAAAGGATATTGGAAAGGGTTGAAACATGCAGCTGAAAGACAGTAAAAAACACTATTGCAGCACATCCCCGGGGTTTAACGCACCTGGTAGGGTATCCGGGTCTTCTGGTCTCTTCTTGAACATGTTGCGCAGAGACTGGAGCCATTGTCCTAGCCTGCGCTCACGCTTTTCCATGTTCTTGGGATACGATCCCTGCTTGAACAGCTTCGCCCCGTCAAGGTGTGAAAGGTCCTTGAGGCGGTAGTCGAGCCTACCAACCAAGGTCGTGATGAACTCGCGCGCCAGCCCCAAACACGCTTGGTGGTCCACACCACTTTTCTGGCCCTTCATTTTCTCCTCGTGCAGTCGGTATCGATGGCTGACCGATGTGCCGTCGGATGCTGTGCCAGCAACGAGGACCTCACGGAACTCCCCTGATGCGTGCTTGTTGAGGAATGGGCCCAACGCGTCTCCACCCTGGCCGAAAGACTCGTCGTCGCAGTCGAGGTAGCGTGTGCGCAGCAGTAAGGTGGTGTTGTGCACCATCGGCAGCACATGGGTTGCGTCGACCTGTAAACGGGGATGCAACAGTAGGAGATTAGTAACAGTATAGTAAAACAACCAACAGTAAGTCGAGAAACATGCTCACCTGCCGTCGCTGGAACTTCAAGCTGAGAAGGTTGAGCTCCTTCAGGACATCCGCAAGGAAGAACAGCAAGAAGTGGAATTTGTAGCTCGTTACGACTTGATACATCTTCTGGTTTGTCTCGTGCAAGACCATCACTGCTGCAGGAAACACCTTCACCAGGCGCTGGATGGCGTCACCACGAGACAACCATCGGACGTCCTTGATGCCTTGGACTTCGAGGTGGGTCGCACAAATCTCCTCCTGAAGCTCTTGGAAACAGGAGTGATTAACTGTGAGGATCTAGGATCGATCTCAGAAAAGAGAATGCGAATTGAATTGAATGATCACCTGGGTACAACACGAGGCTATATATAGGCTCGACACAAGGCCCCGTAACCAGGTGTTACGCGAAGGTTCCGTGGGTCGCGAAGCGTCCCGAACAGATCCTTCCCGAATTCGGTAGGAGGCAATTCGGTGGCAACCGAAAAGCCAGAATTCGGTGCACGCAACCTAGCTCGGTGCTATAACTATAATAAAATAAAGGAAAGCACCTAGCCTAGGAAATCAAGCAATTCATGTATGCATATAATTATCCTATGCTAGAAACAGCATAATAAAGTAAAAGCAAGCAAGCATAGCTGGCATAAGCCGTCGTACTCTCACACGTCCCCCCCTCAAAGCTGGGTGGCGTGAGATACACCCTGCTTGACAAGATAGTCCTTGAGAGCACGGCGTGCGTTGCCCATATCAGCTTCTGCAACCCAACTGTCCTCAGTGGGTCGTATCCCTTCTATCGTATCAGGAACTCGAGGGTCTTGCCGCCGCGGTGCCGATCAGTGAGAACGCGCTCCACTTCGTACTCGGGTTCATCCTGTATTAGAACAGATGGTGGTGGCGGTAGCTGCCGTCCCTGGAACTGTTGGTTGGGGTCCTTGTAGGGTTTCAGTAGCTGGACATGGAAAGCGTTGTGAAGCTTCCATGTATCTGGTAAGCGCAAGCGGAATGTAACTGGTGTCACCTGTGCCTCCACGAGAAATGGACCACAGAAGCGAGGCCGGAGCTTGGATGGTAGGTGAGACAGGTTCAAGTTGCGTGTGTCAAGAAGCACCTGATCTCCGACTGCTACTGTGTGATCACGTCGCTGTCGATCGGCATACTGCTTCTGGGAGGTCTGCATCGTGGTGAGTCGTCGCTGAGTCTTCTCCCATAGCTGTTGCATGGTGGTGACGAAGTCATGTGCGGCTTGGACGTGTGCCGGTGTGGTTGGCTACTGTGGTGTGAGTGGTTCCCGTCCGTAACACAGGAAGAAAGGAGTTTTCCCTGTGGCCGCACGTGATGCGTTGTTGTAAGCGAACTCTAGGGTCGGTAACTGTGTGTCCCAGTGGCTGACGTCGTCCTTGCAAGCTGTGCGCAGTAACTGTTCAACCACTTGATTGAGTCGCTGTGTCTGTCCATCAGTCTGTGGGTGGTATGCTGAGGACATCGCAAGTTTGGTCCCCAATAATCCCATAAGCTCCTTCCAGAACTTACTGGTGAATTTTGGATCTCTGTCTGAGATGAGTGTAGCGGGGATGCCGTGGATGGTGACGATGCGGTCGAAGAAGAGGCGAGCAGTTGCTTCAGCTGTAGCTGTGGCGATGGTCGCCATGAAGTGACCCATTTTGGAGAACTTATCGATCACTACGAGGATGGAATCGTGCCCCCGTGAGGTCGAAGGAAGTCCTGTGATAAAGTCGAGGCTAACGACCTGCCATGGCTGCTTCGGTACGGGTAGAGGCTGAAGTAACCCTGCTTTTTTCTGCTTGCTGCTCTTCATCCGCTGGCACGTGTCGCATGAGGTGACGAACTGCTGCACGTCTGCTACCATCCCGGGCCAGTAGTAATACTTTGCTATCCCTGCTAACGTCTTGTTGCTCCCGAAATGTCCTGCGTAAGGTACGTCGTGAAACTCCTCCAATAGGATCTGCCGTAGCGGGGCGTAATTCGGTACCCAAATCTTTCCTGAACCCTTCCTTACAGCTAAGTCTTTCTCCCACTGTAACAGCTCCTTGGTCTGTGCTGTAGCGATCTCTGCGTCCACGGAGTACCCATGTTGGAATAGACCCCTGAGGAGAGGGTTCATCCCGTCGAGCTGGATGCGTGCTACATGTCCGGGGCGGCTCAACGCGTCTGCCTTGTTGTGTAGCCCGGGCTTGTAGACGATGTCGTAGTGGAAGTGAGTTTCCATGAAGTCCACCCACCGCACATGTCGTCGAGAGAGCGTTGGCTGCGACTTCAGGTATTTGAGACTGCAGTGGTCAGTATAGACTGTAGTCTTGGCTCCCTCTAGGTAACACCTCCACGCCTTAAAGGCTATGGCTATCGCTAAGGCTTCCTTGTCGTGGATGGGGTAGTTCAGTTCTGCTCCGTGTAGCTTCTTACTGAGGTAGGCGATGGGCTGCAAACCGCGTCCGTGATCCTGCATCAGTACTGCTCCGACTGCTTGGTCACTAGCGTCTGCTTCCACCACGTAGTCCTTGTCTGGATCCGGCAAGATGAGTACTGTCGCTGTAGTCAGTGCTGTCTGTAGCTGTTCCATGGCTTGCTGATGAGGAGTATCCCATTTGAAGGGCGTATCCTTTTTCAGTAGGTCGGTCAGTGGCGCTGCTATCTTTGCGTACTGCGGCACGAACCTGTTGTAGTAGGTGGCGAAGCCTAGGAACTGCTGCAACTCCTTCACGTTCTCCGGTACTTTCCACTTCTTGACGGCTTCGATCTTCCGCGGGTCCACGTGTACGCCCTCGGCACTCACCATGTGCCCGAGAAACTGCACCTTCTTCATGGCGAAGTCGCTCTTCGACAGCTTCACGTAGAACTTGTTCTTCCGTAGGATCTCGAACACCTTCCGTAGATGCTCTACGTGCTCCTTCATGTTCTTGGAATAGATAAGAATGTCGTCCAGGTACACCACTATGCACTCGTCCAGCAAGGGTCGTAAGATGTGATTCATCTCCGCCTGAAACGTTGCTGGTGCGTTGCAGAGTCCGAACGGCATCACCAAGTATTCGTAGGAGCCGTATCTGGTACGGAACGCCGTCTTGTGGAGTTGTCTGCCATCTTGATCTGCCAGTAACCCGACCGTAGGTCCAGCTTCGAAAAGACTGTTGCTCCACGCAGTTGATCGAGTAGGTCGTCTATGCGCGGTACGGGATATTTGTTTTTAACTGTCTGTTTGTTCAGTGCGCGGTAGTCGATGTACATCCGTAGACTGCCGTCTAGCTTTGGAGTGAAGAGAACTGGTGCGGTAGGGAGAGGTGGATGGGCGGATCAGTTGTCTGTCCAGTAGATACTCTATCTGCTTCTTCATGTCTGTCAGTTCGGTCGGACTCAGTCGGTATGGTGCACGTGAGACGGGTTTCGCACCTGGTTCCTCCACGATCTCGTGCTCGTGGTTTCGCGCTGGAGGTACTCCTGCAGGTAGGTTGTCTGGCATGATGTCTTTGTACTGCTCCAACACCTCCTTCACTGCTGCAGGTAGCTTTGCGTTCGGCTTCTCCTCCTCTGCTGCTGCCATGACCAGTGCTAAGTAACCCGTGTTGCTCTTGTTCACCGTCCGTTTGAACCGTGCCAGTGTCGTTTCAGGAACATTCCCTGTATCTGTCCAGCTTCGCAACTCCACTCGTTTCCCGTTGTTGTAGATGCACGCCTTCCTGTTAACCCAGTCGATCTCGGGGTTGAACCGCTTCAGGAAATCTTGCCCCAAGATGAAATCTAAACCCTTGATGTTCGTGATCGGCAACGTCGGCTTCCACCTCAGTGCCCCTATGTGCAGCTGCAGTGATGCTTCACCGTGGATGGGAAGTTTCGTACCATCCATCATCGTTGCCGTGAACTTGGTCTCCTCCGAAGGTTCTCCAATTTTCTCCAACGTCCCGCGGTCGCACACCGAGTGAGACGCACCGCTGTCCACCAGTGTCTGGAGGCGTCGCCCGTTGCAGATCACATCGAGTAGTAGTGGTTGTTGCTGCTCCGAGTAACCGTGGATGGTCTCGCTTATAGGATCGTAGGGTACGTCGAATAGATCATCCTTTGGTCCTGCGCTCGAAGCTGCTGACTCCATATCAGTTTTCAGCTGAGTTGGGTTAGAAGGATTTATCCGAGGCCGATTCAGCTTCGTCTTGGCCTGGAACCTTCCCTTAAGCCTTTGCAGCTGTGTAGGCTTCACCTGTGGGCAATTGGGAGCCTTATCACCGTGATGCGGGGAGAGAATATGAACTCCTTGGAACGCACGACCCTTTTCAACGCTCCGGAGTGGTTTGCCCAACTTCTCAGGTACCTGAATAATGGCTGAAGGCTTTTTCATGGCCTCAAAATCTCCCCTGAATTTTTTAAAGGCTTGAAAACCTCGAGAGGAAATATTCTTACTCTTGGGGGTGTTCGGCTGGAGTTTCCCGGTCGGTGCAGAGTCTTGTATCGCGGAGCCTCCATTTGTCTCGGCGATTTCTCCTGTTGCCGGCCGGTCGTGGCGTTTTGAATTCGCGCCATCATGTCCTCCTTTTTTCGCCATCGTGGATGTCGCACTATTGTTGCCCTGCAGCTTTGCTCGTGCCTTCTTCATTTTCCAACACGCCAAGAGTCGATGTCCTGCTGCGCTGCAAAATTCGCACTTCTCATATTTTGTCGGCCGCTGCTTCGCGTCGATCTTGTCCATATCCATCGGGTCGGCGGTCGTGGGTGGTGCCGATCACTTCGTGTCGAATGATCTGTTCGGCACGTGGCGTCGTGTCTCGGGTTCACATCGCATCAGCGCATCGAATCTCTCTGCTGCACACATCATGTCGCGGTAGTTGTTGTAGTTCGCGGCAATCACATGTTGCCGGACTTCCATCTTTAGCCCCTCAGTATACGCTTGGATTTTTTCCCCTTCGGTCAGGTCGGTAATTTGGTTGAAGAGGCTCTCCATCTGCTGCGTGTACTGTGTTACACTGCCGAACTGTTTATGCCGATGAATCTGCTGCCGCGCCATGTAGCTGGAGTTGATTGGTTCGAAACGTTGAATTAAAGCTTCCCGAAACTGCGTCCATGACCCCTCGCCTCGGATCTTAATACTGTTGTAAATCCACTCGAGCGCCGGGCCTCGTAACAGT